ACTGTTCCTAGAAGACAAAACAAAATGACTTAATGAGATATAGATACTATTTCTTCTCCCATAAATATGTTTTGCTCTTATAACTTGAATGCAATCCCAGGTACTTAGGAGGTAGAGGTAGAAGGATCATGGTTTGAGGCTAGCCCTGGCAAAGTTAACATGAGAACTTATCTGAAAAACAAGCTAAAAGCAAAAGGACTGGGGACGTGACAGGAATGGTAAAGCAAGACCCTGAGTCCAATCCTCAATACTGAAAAACAAACAAACAAAAAAGGCCAATTATAGTGGCTCAAGCCTAAAATCTTAGCCATTTGTAAGGCAGGCATCAGGAAGGATTATGGTTAGAGGCCAGCCCAAGGAAAAAGTTCTTGAGATTCCATCTCAAACAATGGCTGGGCATGGTGGCATACAACTGTCATCCCAGATACACAGAGAAGCACAAATAGGATGATTGTGGTCCAGGCAGGCCCAGGCATAAAGTGAGACCCTACCTCAAAAATAACCAATGCTAAAAGGACTGGTGGAGTGGCTTAAGTGGTAAAGTACCTGCCTAGCAAGTACAAGGCCCTAAGTTCAAACCCCAGTACCACCAAATGGAAAAAAAAAAAAAAGAATGAAAACTACCTCTCCTAGAAATAAAAATTTTAAATATAATTAAAGTAGTATAGCACTAGTGTGAAAATAGAAAGAATGGATGGGGCAATGGCTAAAAATACATAGAATGGAAAATCTAGTAACTTAATACTACACCTTAAAGGAGGATTCTAAGACATAGGAATTGATGAAACAATTCCAAAAGTGGTGTAGCAAATATTGATTCTATTAAAAAATTTGAGTCTCACTTCATACCACTTATAAATATAAAGCATTGAGTAGGTTAAGAAATTAAAGGGCCAGACCTGCACTGAAAGGAACTGCAAATTGCCAACATGTATTTTGGAAACATAATTATATTCAATCAAAACATAAACAAAAAATCAAGAACCCAAAAACTGAGAATGCACTTTTGCCAGGTTTGCTCCTCCAGCAATTATCATAAGTTGGGAGCCTGAATGGCTGATTGGAGTTGCACTGCCCATCTTCCATAATTCCATGTTTCATTTTTTACCTAATAGCTGTCTTCTCTGCTAGGCTAATGAAAAGAGATGTCTGTCATCTTTACAACTGCCCTAGGGCTATGCCCTAAGGTCACAGACTCAGTAAGAATGAAATTTGGTCAAAACTTTAGGCAACTTTAGTCAAAAATTCAGGTCAAAATTTTAGCTATCTAACAGTAACAGATGGTGAAATAAGTTACCAAGCATATGTATAACGGAAACCATAAAAACATGCACATAAAAGTTGTCTTAGAGGATGCCAAAATGTTAGAGTTCTCACATTAAGAGGAAAAGAACCCAAACCTGATAACTGCAGAATTTCAACATGTAAACATAGAAAATAAAAATACCTAATCTATCATCCATTTTAAAATATGCCGTTATATTTACATGCCAATAAGAATAAAAAATGCCCAAGATGGGGAACCCCATAGGACTGTCCATATGCAACTGTGCTAAACCAACCTCCTGCACAGCTAAGGAATTTTGCTTGTCTCAGCTTCTTTGTCTCCTGAAGGAGGGAGGATGAAAAATCTCACCTAAGGATTTTTGAACTACAAGCCAGTGTTCAAGCTAGCTTGGATTTTGAATTCACTCTACCAGTGTTATTCAAAGAATCTCAAGCAAAGAATTTCTCTCAAAGTAGTCTCCTGTTGGTGGTTCCTCTAGATGGCTGACAAAAGCAAACCAAAATCTCCTCTGTGAGAATCGGACCTCTGTGGGGGCCCATGGTAATTGTCAGCCATCATAAATGTTAAAAACAGAAAGATTTTGCATCCTAGAATTAATGAAATAGGACAAGCAAAATCTTAACAGTGACTATTTGAGAGTAGTAAGATTATAGATAATTTTCTGTTCTGTACTTTATTTAATATAGATACAGTTAGTATTTGGTAAGGAGAAATAAATTCATTTTAAAATTTAGACAGATACATTATTCTAGGTGAATTAATTTTGAAATACTGTATCAACATAGGGTCTCTGAATATAATTGCCCTTCCTCCCTTCTTATCTTCCATATTTGCTCCCCAGAAGAGCTGCTCTAATAGCTAAATTCAGTTAGTTTCCTTCCTATCATCTTTTGAAATTCAGTGGACATGGAGAAGATAAATCCGGTTGGTCATACTCTCTTAACACTATAAATTTGTGTATTAAGAGTGAGTGTCATCACCATCAATAATATTTTAGCACCTACTATGTGCAAGATACTAGCTAGAGCCTGCAGAAGTAGAGTTCTGCAGAAGTATGCACTTTGTTCTTGTTGAGCAAGGCACTAGGAAGATAAAGACAGGTAGAGTGGTAGGTGAACTAGAATAAACTGTATACATGAATGATGACTGAAAAGGCTACGGAATTTCTGAAAGGGTTTGGAAGTTTTGCTCTTTTGTTTATATAGCGAACAGAATATGAGAATGAGTTTGTTCCTGGTACACACAGCCTGAAGACATTCAGTTAGGAGAAGCAGATGCTGGGGCATTTGGTAGGAACAGATAGTCCCACAAAAGATCAGGAAATGCTCTTTCTCAAGGAACAAAGGGAAAGTCCATCTGCCCAAAGCTGATGACTTTAGAAACTGGTTAAGGATTTTCTGTGAACCCGTTTTATATTTAAAAATAAAAATCTGAATGCCTCAACCTCAGAAGCTTTGGCTGTGGCCTGGTCTTCTGAAATAGTGGGCTTTGGCATCTAGTTTAGAGAGTTTGTATATAACCCAGCCTGGTGCCCTGACCTTGTCTGGATTGTGTCACCCCATTGTATCTCTATGAGAGTGACAGTCACTTACTTGTGTAAGTGTGTGTGGAAGAGGTCAGGTTGCATTAAATAAATAATAAAAGCCATCCCTACTTTTTAGGGATATTATTATTATTATTATTTTATTGTTTCATCATAAATTTTAGACTGGAAGCACCAGCATTGGATAGTCTTGATTATCACCTTGGTAATAAATAGGGTTAAATCCTATTATCATTGCATCTCTGGCACATGAGCCATGTATCTTCACAAACGCCCCCTGGAGTAACACCTGACATACACACCCACGAGGTCCTTCCGGGATCAGGCAAACTAGGGCTTCCTGAAGGGTGAATGATTTGTGTATCTGAACAATTCTCTTGCACTTCATTCTTTCTTTCATTTTTAGCAGTACTGGCGTTTGAACTCAGGCCCTTCTGCTTAGTAGGCAGGTGCTCCACCACTTGGGCCAGGTCCCCAGCTCCACTTCATTCTTATATTTTAATGGCTATTTCTTAATCATACTATTCTTCTGAAAGAGTTACTTAACCACCAAACTGACCCTGAAGAGTTGATACATTCAAATTTTTATTATGAAATATAAAAAAGGGGTTCATAGAAAATCCTTAGTTTCCAAAGTCATAAACTTTCGGACTTGCCTCTTCCTCCCCTAAGCGATTTCTTTTTCTTGATCATTTGTGGGAAAAGCCATACACACACACAATGTCCCAACACCTCCACAGTTAATACCCTCAAGTTGCATATACATCAGAAAACTACCAATTTCCACCCCAATCCGTTCGTTATAAAAACAGAGGAGTAAAATTTCCAAATCCCATCCCTAACGCCCTTTTCCATCTTCGTTCATGTGTATTTCGCAAACCTGGGTAGCCCGAGCTCCCCTGCCTCACTTCCTGGCTTAAAAGCAGCTTTTGCCACACATTAAGGATTATGTAATACACAAGTCACGGTCCTTCTGACCACGGGACTTTAAAAATAATGATGACGTATAGAAATGTATAGTGCTACAGTTATATACTACGGCATATCCTAGGTGGGAAGGCGCCTCGAGCCACGCGCAGGTGGACAGCGCCAGGGACGCGCGTGCTGCCCGCACGCTCGCTGTCACGGGCACCCACCCGGGGAGACGTGGGCGTGAAGCCTCCGATCGGGCCCGGGGGCGCCGAGCCTGTACCCCGCCGGAAGGGACCGGCGTGGCGGGGCCGTGCGAGCTCGGCGGGCAGCGGCGGACCGGCGGGCGGGCGCGGGCCCCGCAAGGAGGGAGCACAGCCCGCAGCCCGCCGCGCCCCGCCCCGCCCCTCGCGCCCGCCCGCCGCCCGTCCGCGGCTCCTCCTCGCTTCGCCATGGTGGAGCAGGGAGACGCGGCGCCGCTGCTGCGCTGGGCCGAGGGCCCCGCGGTCTCCCTGCCGCAGGCCCCGGAGCTGCAGGCGGGAGGCTGGGCCCGAGGCGGCGGCGGGGGCGCCCGGCTGGTCGCGGAACCGCCGCGGAGGCGGGAGCCCGAGGAGTCGGCTCCCTCCGAGGTGCTGCTGCAGCCCGGGCGCCTGGAGCTGGGCGACGTGGAGGAGGACCAGGTGGTGGCCGTGTTCGTGGTCACCTTCGATCCCCGCTCGGGTGAGAGCCGCCCCGGGACCGAGGGGCGGGGAGAGGGCCGCCCCCGCCCCCGCCCCGGGGCTTTGGGGTCGCGGGGGAGGACTCGCTGCGCGCGCACTCGCGTCCACACACCTGCGTCCCCGTCGGCCTCCGCCGCTCCGGGAATCGCAGGGGCGGCGGGTCCCCAGCCTCCGCCCGCCGAGCCGAGCCGGGTGCCGCACTGAGGCCCGCGCGCCCCCCGCGGAGTGGACCCGGGGGCTTTGTTCCAGGCCCCGCCGACCTTCCTGTCTGTCCCGCCGCTGCTCGCAGCGCCCCCAGACCTTGTCCGGTCCCCGGTCATGTTTGCTCGGCTGCGGCGGTGGAGGATCCGGTTTGTGGCTGCAGGCACGTTGGCTTTTGTTTTCTTTTCTTGCCCGGCTGGAAGGTGTTTCCGCGGTGAGCGGAGGAAAGCCCCGAGGCGAACGCCTCCTGGAGCCCCACGTCCTAAGCGCCCCTGCCCCCTGAGGGCCCGCTCTCGCTCCCAGTCATAACTTTCCTAGCGGCCAAGTTCACTTTCTCTGACAGCGTATTGAGGAACTAACGTGGGGAGCATTCAGGAATGGGGCCGAGGGATTCCGCGGAGGTCTGATTAAAGGAGGAGCCTCGGGCTTTCTCCATGTTTGGAGAATTAATAGGTTATCTCAAGGCATCTTTCGCCACCCGCTGTCGGGGTGTGCACTCTGATGATGAGAGATTCCAGGGGATAAACAGTGAATAAATGGAAATGCCTCTCCTAAAGCCCTGATGGGCTGTGAGGGGCGCTGAAATCCTTGAGCTGTTCTGCTCCTGTCCTGACCCCAGGCCTTAAGAACGTCCAGGTGAGTCCCTCGGTCCATCTCCAGTGGAGTTGTTGCAGTGAGTATGGGGTATGTGTGTGGAAGGGTGAGGGTTATTGCTTTGGGGTTGCTTCCTCCTGAACTTCCAAGCGTGAGCGTAAGGTTGGGATGGGATGGGGTGGGAAGAAAAAGGGTTAGGATCTGGAGAAAGGGGATGGTTTCCAGGCAGAGTGATTTTACTTTGATCCAGGATTCTGAGCTGGGAGACAGGTAGATTGTAAATCTCACTGAACTGAGGTCCCTCTGTTAGTGACAGAGTTTGTCAGAGAACTCCTGCCTTTCTGAAGCTTGTTTATCCCATTGTCTCATTCTAGTGGCTTTCAAACTTTTTTGACTCTGGTCCACCATATGAAATTAATTTAATTCACACCTAATACACTCACACTATAGATATTCGAATGAAACCGAAGTTTCATAAAATAGTGCTGGATCTCTTCTACATATAGTACCTGCTGCTATTTTCTATTTTTTAAATGCTCATCACACATGCTGGTTAATTTATGTTTAATTGGAACAACCCCAGGTACCAGTAGTTTGAACTAAACTTTTTAAACCAAAGTAACCCTTAATGTGAGACAAAAACATATACTTTGTAACCAATTATGTTTCTTATGCCCTTTCCCCATCATTTATAGGTAAACAGATGTAGCCATGACATTCACTCCGGAGGCATTTAAGAGTACTGAAGAAATGGAAAGGAAACATAATAGGGTCTGATCAGCGTTTGATTCTGTGTGAGCACCGTTGACCTCCAGTAGAGTTTTTGGGAAAGCACTTGTTTTCTGTCCATAAGTTTGTCTTGTCTTTTCTTTATCTGTCCTAGTCCTAAATGGCATTTTGCATTCTATAAAAAATATTCTGGTAGTGCTTATGTAAGATAAAAGTGTGTATGGTATATCTCTTAAAAGCGTGAGATAGAGTGAATAAATGCTATTGAGGTTCCCCAGGTCTCGAAGGTTAGCACTAGGACAGGGGCCTCAGAGAGCACCTGGTGTGCCTCTGTGTGGTGGTGGAGGAAGTTGAATTCAGGGGAAGAGAGAAGGTGAGGCTGACGGTTGCCCTTCAAGGTGGAGACATCACAAGGACTAGAATTGTGTCTCCTTATTTTAGTCCAGGGTTCTCTCTTCTGAGGCAAATTTGTTATTAGTTCCTATTTAATATTGGTCCACCCAACTTTTTGCCCTTCCATATCCTGCTACCTAAAGTAGTAAGTGAATACTGTTTCTTTACCAAAATAAGAGCTTATCGCAGGAATTACTAGGTGGGAAGATTTGTCTATAGTTTCTCTCTCTTAGTCACTCCTACCTTCCCTCTTCTTCTCTGTACTGGGGCTTCAACTCAGGGTCTTGCACTTGTTAGGCAGGCACTCCACTACTTGAGCCACAACTCCAGCACTCTTTCACACATTTTTTTTTTTTTTTTGTGGTACTGGGGTTTGAACTCAGGGCCTCATGCTTGCTAGGCAGGTACTCTACCACTTGAGCCACTGCACTTTCACACATTTTTTTTTTTTTTTTTGGTGGTACTGGGGTTTGAACTCAGGGCCTCATGCTTGCTAGGCAGGTACTCTACCACTTGAGCCACTGCACCAGGCCTTTTTTTTTTTGTGATCCTATTTTTGAAATAGGGTCTTAAGAACTATTTGCCCAGGCTGGCTTTGAACCTCAGTCCTCCTGATCTCTGTCTCAGTAAGCAACTAGGTTTACGGGCAGCTGGTGACACGCCTGTGAGTCACCAGTGCCCAGTTTTTTTTGTACTTCTAGACAATTTTTAGAAAGCTAGGTTGGGTATCTGCAGGGAAAATCAGAAGAAAATTATTTTCATTAGACTTATGGCTTGAGAGTTGTTTATTGGGTCTGCAAATGACATGAAAACTAGGGACTTCAGGTTCAAGGTAAGGCCTTCGCACGCACTGCACACACTGCACACACATACATGCGTTCCTTATCTGGAGCTGGCCAACCATCGGTGGCCACTTCATCTGGGCTACCAAAGCTGACTATTGAAACGGGCTCAGATGCTAACTTCTGCATTGCCGGGTAGAGAAGTTGGCAGCCAAGAATGTGCTTTTGTCATTGTGTTCACCCTACAGTTTAGGCCTTTACTTGGATTGTATGTTCGTTCTTTAGGTTTTCTAGTAAAATTTTCTTTTCTTGCTTCACTTAAGGAAAGGAATCATCACACTTGGATCCCCAGGATGGTGGTAGGCACTGCCTCCCTTCAGTATAATGAGGGCTGTGGGGCTGAGCTGATAGAGCTTTGGATCAGGAAAGTCTGGGTTATTCAGAGTTCGGGATTCGATTGGTGGGGTGGTGGTCCTGGGGGTGGGTGGTGTCTGAAGATATAGGTGGGGGGTGTAGTGGGTTGGTTGCCTGTGAAATCTGCCTATTGAGCTACTTACTTTGTAAGAGCATCCACTTCACACGTACATTTCACCCAGTTAGTTTGTGGAATCTGAGGGGGGAATTCCTATTCGTGTGTTTATTAGGGGGGAAAATTCCTATGCTGTGTGTTTGTATAAGGGAGGGAAATGGTCACAGGACATATTAACCTAGTAGGTTCTCAAGATATTTCTTCTTTTATTCTTCCTGACTAGGGAATGAACCTCTTCTCCCCCAGCCTGCAGCAGTGAACATCTAAACGTGTATAGGTGTCTGCATTTGAATGTTTCCTTATGCCATTGTCAAATGGTTATTTAAAATCAGTCACACATACTAATTATTAATCTGTGATCCTGTACAGTCAAAGGGAAAATATGAGCAGTGTTTCTTTTAAACATTGGAGTGGTTGGAAAGCACATGGAGTTAAGACGAGGGTCTGGTGCCTGAGGTATAACTTTGTAGTGCTGCCAGGTCAGCTGACTTCTTTTAGCTAATAAATGGCCCCAAGTACTGAAGGAGAAGGAGGAAAGTTGACCAAAATGGGATGCAAATGGAAAATTTTTGTACAAGCCACACAGCATTCTGAGACTTGCCATTCACAGGGATGCAAGGAAAAGGCCAGTTCTTGATGAACAAACAAGAAAGTCCTCATGGAAAAAATAACGCTGTCACGTCCTTCTCGGCCATTTCCATCAGGTGTCAGTGGACTGCATTCGGGATTGATTGAAATACAGTGTGGTTGATTTGATTAATCCCACACTGACAGGCTCTTTCCTGGGCTGTTAGTGAATCATCTGCTTGTGGTTTTCACCACAAAGTCAGTTTGTGACCATCTGTTGTAGATTCAGTTTTCTCTCTTGAAAACCTACAGAGAAAATTAGGGGAGATGATTACAATACCCACCACATCCTATGTGCCAAGAACTGTGCTGGGGACTTCAAGGGTTTTTGCCACTGATCATCCCAACAATCTTCACTATAATGATGAGAAAAGCAGGATCACAGAACTTCGAGGCTCCTGCTAAAGTCAGAGCAGAGCGCTAGTGCAGAGTCCAGGGTTTCACCTGCCCTGGCAGGGCCTTCATTCCTTCCCGTTCCCCACTACACCACTGCCCAGTGGAAAACTTGGTGGAGTCTGTGAATGGAAAGATTGTTTTTGAATGTAAAATTAATGCATTGGAATCCAGCCATGGATTGACATATGGCTGACTTGAAATTGCCAGGATTAATTTCTGTCTGATTCAAGGCCCTTCATACTGTCTCCTTCCTATGCTTTGATTGTGCTTCATTCTGGTGTATTTAAGACTGTTTTGAAACCCACGTAAGATCAAAAACTCAGTTGATACAGACTGGTGGGATTCGACAAATATTCTTTTGAAGTTTTCTTCCATTTCTGAATTGGTGGCCCACTAAAGTGCATTATGTAGAGAAATACATTGTGATTTTCGGGACCAGGATGCAGGGCTTGCCTTTTTCCTGTAGACGAGGAACCCTTTGCCTTCCTGGGCTGAATTAGGGTACATGTGATAAGTACTCGTGAGAGGAAGGCTGATGGAAAGAGTAAAAAATCAAGGCAACTGATGATAGCTGCCTCCCATCTAGCTTTAGACCAGCAAAGAGGCTGAAAGAAATGTCTCAGGTGGAGGCAGTCACCATTCAGGACAGGAACCTCAAGAGGAAATGCTTGAGTGGAGCCACCCAACAGAGGGGAGGTGTCAATTTCCCATTCAGATGTTGAAGGTTTGGGTTCAAGTCATTGTGTTTCTGTTTAAATTTGTTGAAATGAACTGTTTAATGCGGTAAGCTATAACAGCAGCCAAGTCTGTCCTCCCCTAGAAGTGGTGGTTGGGAAAATGCCCTGGGTTAAGATCATTTTCACATTTCAACAGGAAAAGTTTCAAAGATAGAAGCAAGCCTGGTATGCAGATGGGACCAGCCTATATCTTTACCTAGTCCAAGAGCGTCTAATACATTAGCTGGCCCACACACCCAGAGCCTCTAGTGACCTTTGGACAGTGAAGTGGCATTGCTAAGGCCATCGTATATCCACAGCCCATCTTGGCATTCCCTGGTCACTGAGCTGCCAGCCCAATAGTCTGTTAGTCCAGGTTCCTTCAAACAGAGACATATTGGTCTGGCATGAGCTTCAGCACCTGGTACTGCACTGCCAAGTTTCACTCCACCAATATTTATTGAATGACCTGCTAAATGTTGTTACAATGAGATTTGCCCACATTTTTTCCTCCTGTTGATTCGTGGCACTCCTTTCTTTGCAGGCCTGAAGCACTGTGATAGGCCCAAGGTATGACCCAAAAAGAAAAAATGACGTGGAGCTGGGAAGGAGCAATTTAGAGGGAAAGAACACTTATCAGTGGTGACTCCTGTTTCCTGATGATTCTTTGTTGAGTCTTTCCAGCTATAGCCTCTGCTTTACCTATTATTATGGTGAGTATATTTGGAAGACCTAAGAAGTGGAAGTTTGAACACTGAGCTCCACTCAGTATTAAGGGTTTTTCTTAGCATTAAAGGTCATCCTGTAAGGATTGCATTTTGCAAAGTCACTTTTCTTTAAACCTCTGCAGTTTCCATATACAAACTAGTTTCCAATTAGTAAATATTCTTAGAAGGTACCTAGTTTGTACTAGCTCTCCGACTCCCTATTAACTATGGCATACATTCTCTCAATTATTCTTGTTTTTGCAAAGTCCTTTGTGCTTTCCTTAATTGTTTCCACATCTCTACCATTCAGTTTCCCAGTTTATATTGAGATATTAAACCTTCAGAAAAGTTGAAGAATATTAAAGTAAGAACCTGTATATCCTTCACAAAAAAGTCCCCCATCTTTGGACATTTTGTTTCGTATGGCTTGATCTTATGCAGTTAGTTCCCTTGTAAATGCAAAATTGTGTTCTAAAAATCTCTCTTATAATAATCAGTAGTGAAAATAACAAGATTCATTGACAAAAACGTCAGTTACACAGTAAAAAAAAAAAATTTGAAAAGATAGGAACCTAGGTAAAAATCTAGGACCATTTGTGCATGGGTGGATTTGATTAAGAAATACATAAATGCTAAATGAAAAGGCAACTTCTTTCTTAGCGAAGAGTTTTGTCTATGGAGGTGGAGTGTCAGAAAAGTTAGAGTTCTATGAGTTATAGATGAAATAAGGGAAAGACCAAGCTATATAAAGATCAGAAGGTTGTAACACTAGAGGTGGTAGCAAGTAGAAGTTTAAGGTGGATGATTTCATTGTACTGCTTTTTTTTTTTTTGTTTTGTGCGTGATACCAGAGTTTGAACTCAGGGCTTTCACACTTGCTAGGCAGGTGCTCTTACCACTTGAATATACTTCTAC